TCGAGTGGCATTGCAGAATTCTAGGCAGGCGGTGGACTTGCAGCCTCTTAGTCCTAAAGTTCACCGGCTCCTTTATTAAGTTTTCATGTTAAAATAATACTATCCTTAGGAGTGTGGAGACAGTTACTGACCCTGAATTGTTGCTTCCTAGGAAGTAGACAAGTAAGTAAGTAATATAATTGTTGTTGTTTTTAACAGACTGACTTAGGGAAACAGATTGTCTTAAATAACTGTATATTTTTTGGCACAGCACTTCTAAATATACAAAGCACTTCACATACACTTCTTCATCTAATCATTACTCACCCAGTGGTGCAGGTATTACCATCCCCATTTTGCAGAAGAAGAAACTAAGGCTTCTAGATACAGACCTAGGCCTTCCAACTCCATCTAAATGGTCTGTTTGTTACTCTCTGTTCTATTTTTTTTGTTGTCACTTTAGTCTTTTTAATTGGATTTATTGGGGTGACATTGGTTCATAAAAGCATATAGGTTTCAACTGTACAACTCAACAGAATATCATCTGCACACTACATTGTATACCCACCGCCCAAAGTTAAGACTCTCCATTCCCATTTATACCCCCTTTGCCCGCATCTACCTATGCCCCTTTTCCCCTCTGGCTGTCACCACACTGTTGTCTATGTCCATGTTCATATATATATGTATATATATATGTATGTATTTATGTGTGTATATATATGGGTTGTTGTTTTTTTGCTTAATCCCTTCACCTTCTTTCATCCAGCCCCCCAATACCCTTCCCCTTTGACTAAACCTCAGGGCTTTTCTTTTTTCCAAGTTTATTAGTTTCATTGTGGAGATTTCCCCAGCCGCCGTGTGGAAGGGTCCCACCCCAGTTATTGGGCAGTACTTAAGTTGTTCAGTTGACAGCACTTGGAGTATCAGAGCCAGGAAAGGCTGTGGAGACCATTTATTCACCTGTTTACCGATAAGAAAACTGAGGCCCACAGAGGGGCCCAACCTGTCTACATTCCCAAGGCTGGACTGACAACTCCCGTTCATGGCCAAACTGAGACGAGGAGCAGAGCCTACTTTCACAATCACAGCAAAGAGCAGAATTAAGTTCAGAACCTGGTTGGCATCAGTTCCCATCCTGTACTTGTTCAATAAAATAGAAGGATCCTAGATTAAATCATGAACTATTAGATGGCAGGCAGCTTGGAAATAATCTGCTGTAATCCTTTAGTTTGGTAGGTGAGAAAAGTAAGTGCCAGAAAGGCAAACTGAGCCCCCAAGTAGGAACTTGAACCCAGGTCTTCTGGTCCCAGTCCCTGACCCCACTCTGTGATCTCAGCTGTGCACAGTGCACCCAGTTTGCCAGACACAGTCCAACACCAGCATTTCCAGACACAGGCACCTGACTCAGCCCTGGCTCTGCCTTGGCAATGGCCATCAGGCATCAGCTGTCGGCTTGGATGATGTGTTCCCAGAGCAACATGGCGAGTGTGAGCTGCCAACTTGGAAGTCTCAGGGAATGTAAAGTGTTGAGCCAGTTAAATATCCAAAAATGCCCTGTCTCTCAGAAACAAGGGTGACTCATCAGAGCGCTTCAGCTATGACTGGGAATGGCATTAGAGTGGTCGCGGGGGCCAAAAACCCACGCTCAGAAGCCTCTTCCCTGCCTCTGGCCCTCTGCTCACAGCTCTCTGCAATCCAGAGCCAAGGCGGCTTCACCCAGAAGCCCAGACCTCCTCCTCTCTGAAGCCTTCCACAACTCTTCAAGCCCAGAGGAGCTCTTTCCACTCACATCTTGAGAATCTGCTCTATACAATTTGGCGCTTGATTTACATTATCTTTACTGCTTCTCCTTAACTGGTTTGAGTGTTTTATAGCCGACATAGATTGCAAATGCTCTGAGGGAAGTAAGCTTCTTCCTCTAAACCCTACAGGACATCTTGGAGTGTCACCAACGAGCAGAGATATGCTCAGGCTCACAGCTACTCCTGACTTCAAGACTCTTTCGCCTTTACCTTGTGTTTGCTCAACAAATGCTCAATAAATCCTCGCTTGTCTCACTGCGGCTTCAGCCTTTTCAAAGACAGTGCAGCAACCACAGCCTCCGTTAGGCCATGCCGAAGCCTCTGCAAATCAGAGTAAAAGCACACCTTGCTCCAGGTGTACCAGCCCTGCCAGGGTTCAAGGCTGGGAGAGTGGAGTCTGGGCTGGACTTCAGCCCCTGGGCTGGGCACCCCACGCAGCAAGCCCCCTGCAGCACCTGGGTGCGGGATCCTCATCAGGGCAGCAGCAAGCTCTCCCCTCCAACCCCCCACTCCCATTCTGACCAGGAAGGCCTTACCTGGGAAGGCTGGCATCGGAGGCGTCTCAGTTTGTTTCCCAGCCCCTTCCCTGTCAAAACCAAACCAAAATAACAAAAATATACACCTTCAATAGCTCCTCGACACGCAGGCCCTGAAGTCCACACTGCTGGCAGAGCACTCGGGAGCCCTCCATAATAATGTCCCAACCTTCCTTTCTTACACTGAAGGCCCAGAACTCGCCATGAGTTGTCCTCCTTCTGTACTCTTGCTTTCCCTCAGCCTAGAGTACCCTTGTCCTGATGATCTTTGTGTCAGGTCCCTGCTCCCCTTTCAAATCCCATCACAAGTGGGATGTCTCAGTCAACATAACTGGTCTTCCTGGCGCTTCTTCCCACCCCCAGCTCTCCCTGCCTTCCACATCGCTTTGACCTCTAATACCACCCTTTTCCCACATGGCATTGGTATGTCACCCAAGGGTCCACTGTCTTTAAAGCCATCTTTCCATATAGGCTTCTCTGTATTCACCTTGCATCAGCCCACATGCCGAACTCAGCACCGCACTGAGTTCCCCAAAAGAATCCACTCACAAACAAATTGAGGGACAGTATTTCCTTTTTATGTGATTTATTTTATAGGAAGGTTGGAGAACAGAAACGTCATAGCCTCCCTTCCTTCCTCCCTGCCCCCTGCCACACTATTTTTTGCAAGCATTCCTATTCTCTAAATCCTTGCTTGGCAGCTCTGTTCTAGGAGTTACTCTCTCATTACTCTTCAATACACTCTCAGCCAAGTCAAGTCTCTGCTCTCTATCTCTGTGTGTCTTCTCTATTCTTCCTTCCAACTTCTTTCCTGTTCTAATAGGCACAATAACTCAATGTTCCTCCAACCCCTACCTGCAAGCATGCATCTCCAAATCCATCATGATGCTCAGCTAAATATAGGTTCTCCTTCCCTTTCTCCTTCTTTAGAAGGAGTCAAGAATAGACAGGGCAAGACTGTTTTTCTTGTGACATGTATGTGAGTGTTTTCTCCACAGAGAATGCAAGTTTAGCAATCAAGGATTGTGTCTTCCACATGCACCCAACCTAGCACAATAAAAATACATCAGTTAGGCTGTGGCCAACTTTCTCCTCTACCAGGGATAGAGACTGTTCTATGCCTTTTCTGTCTCTCGGGACCGCTTTCTTCCCAAGTAAGGCCCAGGATTAGGGTCAGGGAAAGTGCCTGAAGACATAGGAGGAGTGTAATAGATAGTTGTGAAATGAAGTCAGTGAGTGAAAGGGAAACAATAAAAGATAAAAGAACTTTGAGAACCTCTTCACCAAGATTATTTCAGTCTAGCTACAGGGAGCTTTGAGAACCAACCCAGGGTGACAGAAAGAGATGTGAATAGTCGATGGTAGGATGAAGTGTGAGCACGGGGCTCTGGTATTGGCTCTGCCTTCACTGCCATGTGAAATCCTGGGGAAATCTCTGAGCCTCAGTTCTTCATCTGTTCCATCACCCTGCCTACAAATTACTCAATATGGACATTAACCATCAGGTCCTCAGGGCTATTTGACATTCATGTTTGAGGCTTCTTCCTAAATGCCTAGACACCCAGGGCCCCTTGGCGCCTGTGCATCTGCAGAAAGCTTTTCTTGGCTGTAGTCCTGACCCGGAGACCTTCGCTGCCTGCTGGTGGAAAAGAATTCTCAGCTGTGGAAACTGGTAAACTCCACATATTTTACAGATGAGAGTCTAAATTCCCAATGACTCTAAATGTGGTGTGCAATAGACAGAAGTCATCCTGCTGGTGTGACATGCCTGAGGTGGTGTCACCACCACTACTACTGCCTATGTGGACATGCACGTCATGGAAAGAGAAGAAGCAACAAGTCACTGGTGCCCCGGCCAATGCTGGCCCTTATCTCTTACCCCTCACCCCCTTGTCTTTTCTGTGCTGGTCTACATTTCAAAAATAAGATGTGGTCTGTTTGCTGTGCAGAAAAATGGTTCATGGTCATCTAACAGCAAAGGAGAGGGAAATTAACAACCCTCAGCCTCTGAGACCTAATCTGGCGTCAGAGCCTAGCTCTGATGGGCTGTGATGGTCCCCACCACATCCGAGGAGGGGGCAATCTATTCAGATGGAAAAGCCACCAACCCCTTGCCACCAAGGTCAGAGATGTCAGCAATGTGCCCCTGAGCAGTCACAGTGATTTGGGGGCTAGAGACACGCACTTCCTGGGAACTTGTTGATTTTTTCCTTTGTTGATTGGGCTGAGATCTTTAGGCAGCCTAGACCTGGTATGGAAATGCTCTGTGGGTATTTTATTTGTCAACAGTTTTCCACCATCCTCAGAGTCTGGCCTCTGGGCCCTGCGAAGCCCCGCTACTACATCCTCTCCCCCTCTAACCTTCTAAATCCTCCGAAACTGAAGCCCTACCAGTGACAAGTGCCCAAATCATGCCTGCGCCCAAGCTGCACCAAAGGTGCACAGATTCCCACTGGGCCGATCCGATCCGCGCGCGCCTGTGCGTGCGTGTGTGTGTGTGTGTGTGTGTGTGTGTGTGTGTGTGTGTGTGTACATGCGCTCGCGCGCGCGGTTGTGTGGCAGGGGCGGGCTCTGCGCCCGGGGGCAGGGCTCAGCGCTGAGAGTGGCAGCTGGACTTACCAAGCCGCTAGGGGCAGGACGCCGCAGTGCCGTAGTAGCCGGCAGCCGACGAGGACTGCTTCGGAGCCGCGGATAACGGAACAGGCAGAAGACCCTGGCGTTGCCTAACCCCGGCAGGGCCGCCCGAGCTCCGCGGCGCCCACTCGGGCTGCCATACCCTCTTCCAGCGGGCTGCGCGGGCGGGAAGACGCTCAGACTCCGGTTTCGGTCCCCTTTCCGTCTCTAGGTTCCTCTTTCCTCCCAAGTAAGGGAATAAGACCAGAGGAAGGAGCGCTCTGGGGAACCACGCAACCAAGTGCTGCCTGGTGAGAGGTAAGACTGGCCGGCGCAGCGGCGGGGGGCTCGGGCTCGGGATTGGGCTCGGGCTCAGGCTCGGGCTCGGGCTCTGGGACATGGGCTGCAGCAACTTGGAAAAGAAGGGCAAAGCCGGAGACGGTCCCGTGGCCAGGGGAAGGAGCTGCAGCCGAGGCCACTGCGCCCACCCTGATGGTGCCACCTGCTCCTGCAAAGTCTCTGCAGGAGGAGATCCCCCGCTGGCAGGACGAGGGCACCAGGAGCGGCACAGGGTGGGGCCCGGGCTCCCTCTTGGATTGGGAGGACCTTCCAAACCTCAAAGGTGTGCGGGCGGGAGGCGGCCTTGCTCCAGGCAGTTTGCTGAAGCAACTGGTCAGATGTCTCCCCTTCTACACTTACCTTGGCTCTTTGGAATCCAGTTCGCGCTCCAATGTTCATAAGGTGGCAAGGAGCGGGGGACACTTTTCGTAACGTTTGGCCGCCAAAGGCTGTGACGGTCCCGCAGGGTTTCAGGACTTCAGGCATTCTGCAAAGCTCCTGGGCTGGGGGAGCTTAAAGGAAAGCTGAAGAGAACACGGATACCTTGACAATTATAAGCTAGGGAAGGGGAGAAGGGTCAAAGAGAGAATGTAAAGCTGACCTGTTTAGTCTCCGAATCATAAGATGTGTGTGTGTGTGTGTGTGTGTGTGTGTGTGTGTGTGTGTGTGATGAGGTGCTCACATCTAGTATCACCTGTGGGGTTTCGAAAACTCCCCCAGTCCACCTCACCCTGCATATTCTGAGATTTTCTTTCTCTGGAGGAGGGGACTAGATTTTGGGGAGGGGGCTGTAGAGTTAGAAAAGCCCTACAGGTGATTCTGATGCGCCGCCTCCGTCCCCGCCATAACTGCAGTGAAAAGCAGGGGACGGGAACCAGGAAGCATCACCCAGATGCGAGCCATCCAGCTGCAGAACTCGAAGTGGCGGACGAGACCCCTCCTCCGCCGTCCCCCACCCCTGGAGGCCGGAGGGTCTGCCGCAGAGCGCGGTGTTTTGTGGCTGCGCCGCAGTGACGCGCGGGAGAACTGCGAGCCCGCGGGCGCTCTCGTAAGCGGGCGCCGCGCGGTTGTTTCCTCTGCTTCATTAGCATACGATGACCTCGCTCTCCCGAAGAGGGCCTGGGAGGGCTGTTTGTCTTTCTCTAATTTTGGGTGCTTGGGGGAACGCACCTTGGGCCTGGAGGTGCGGACCAGGGGGAGTCACTGATGAACGGCATCAGTCAGGGCGCAGGGCCAAGGACTTCCCCTTCAGTTCCAGTCCTGGGAATGACTTCTTTATTTCGGTGCCTGGGATTCTTTGTCTAAAACACAGCCAGAAGAGACATTAGATCTTAGGGGGCAAAGGTTATCAGTTTGGTCACACACACACACACACACACACACACACACACACACACACCTACCTTTGTGCTTTATGACATTTTCATTCCAGGGTTATGTCCTAACGTGGGGAGGGACTTCGTCAGTTGTGGTGTTAGAAAGGACTGTATTTTGCCAAAGATTCCGTTCCGAATATAAAATTATACTCATTAAATAAGGCAGCAGCAACTAAGCAAACTTTCCTGTTGTTCCCTGTTGTGCTCCGATCTGTCTTTTCTTTCACAATCTCGCTTAAAGTTTATATATAGTGCTGTGGGCATCATGACAGGTATTTTTATGGGAGGATCTAGGGGTAGGAAGCAAGTAGATGAGGCTTTCCCACCTTACAATTTTATGTCAGTGTTTGATTCAGGTCAAGCAAGACATGAGGAGAGAATGATAAATATCAGAGCGTCTTGGAATCTAGACTCTCAGATAAGGAGAAACGGCTGAGGACATCTATTCCCCGCCCCTACCCAAACCCTCCACAGAACACCTTCAACAAGTGACAGAGGATCTCACCAACCTCTGTACCCTGTACTCCTAGAGGTCGGTGCATGTGTATGTCTCTTCTAGGGGAAGAAGCCTTAAAGCAGCTCTCTGGCTGATCTCTGGAGGAGCCTTCAGCTCCTCCCCTGGAAGGGAAGGGGGAAGAGAGAAGTACCTTTTTGTTGTGGTAAAACTCTTTTTTAAAAAATATCTTACTGTATTACATCACTATGATATACTCTTTTAGTATAAAAGTAATTCGTGTTGAATGCAGGAAATTTGGGAAGTCGAAAACTGCAAAGAATCAAACAAAGCACCCACAATTCAGCCACCTAGATACCACACTTGTCAATATATCGGCATATTTTCTTTCCATCTATTTTTATGTCTTGAAATCTTACAATTCATAGACAGCCAACATTTATTGGGTACCTAAAACATGTACTTTGCAGATATTAAGTATTTTATATTAATGGCATCATTTAATCCTCAGAAGTTTTTCTAAGGCAAGTATTATGTATTATCAACCCCACAGTGTTCAGGTGACTTGCCCAAGTCACACAGCCAGTAAGTGGCAAAGCCAAGATTCAAACCCAGGCTGTCTGACTCCTGAGTGGTTGCTTAGCCTCTGTAGCTAATGCTTCTCTTCCTTTTTTCCTAATTAGTGTTATAGCAAAAATCCTTCATGAACATCATGTTCATGACTGTATTTTATTACACTGTTAGTCGTTTACATTGTTTCCTGTCTTTAGCAACAACAAATAACTGTACAACATCCCTGAGCAAACTCTTTGCTGCACACATTTCCAAATACTTCCTTTGCATAGATTCCCAGAAGTAGAATCACTGGGCCAAAGGGCATGAATGTTTTTAGGTCCCTAGTATATATGACAAGCTGCTTTTCGGAGAGCTACATCAATTTACACTTCCATCCAGCAGAGGCAACTCTGCCACCGTCAAAGCAGGTAACCTCTTGGGACTGGCATAGACCAGGGCCTCACACAACCATGCCAGACCACAGGAACATCTCTCTGGTCTCATGGGAGAAGGAATCACACAGTAATCCTGCTTTATACACACAAGTATGATTATGGAAACCATACAATATAAAGCTGTACTTGTTTTGATGTGAACATGTATCAGCTGCAGAATTCTCTGTGTCACATATTAACTTTGAACTATTATGTAAAATATATAAATGGGCCTAAGATCCCCTTTCTCCACACAAGTAATTAGAACAGTCCTCACTCCTGTGAACATTCATCACTACCCCAGCCAGATTCAGCCAGCCCAACCAATCCGGAAGGGTTTCTGCACAGATTGGCCACATTCACAGAGCTGTTTGTTGACACTAAGTATCCGAATTCCACAACCTAACCACAGTGGGAGTTGATGTCACTTTATGTGTAACAGAGTTCACCACCACCCCCTCCCTAAATCCTTGATGTTTAGTGACTACTAATAGAACTAAAAAATAAGGTTACACACATCATCAAAAAAATGTCCTCAGGTGAAGAAAATGTGATCACAGAAGAGAAACTGAATTAGGCGATACAAAAAGACACAAAGGGGAAATTTTTGAAGAAAATACGTTGGCTCTAGCTCTGAGTTTCCCCTGGTTTGCCTCACAGCCACCTCTGTCACCAGCAGTGGGCTAAGTGGCCTTGGAATACAATCTGTTTTAAATGGAGTAATTATCAATTGAGCCCCCACTATGAGATCTACTTATTTAAGATTGCTCAGGTCTTAAAGTATCCTTCTGAGAAGCCTTCCCTGGCTGCTCATCTGGGTTAGAGATCTCTCTCTGCTGCACCTGTAACACCTATGCATACACTTATCTTCCTATGGTGAAATGATTTATCTGCATATCCCCACTCAACCGTGAGCTCCCAGAAGGTCAGCTGGCACCATACCCAGCACCTGAGAATGAAATATGATGAATGAACACATAAGAGAATCTTCCAGGTACTATGCTGGTGCTTTATGTGCTTTTCTCCTTGGATGCATCTTTTTACTGCTCAGACTGGTCAGTCTGAGAAATGTACCTGAAAGGTGTCTAGAATGATGCTGTCTATTTCTATATGGGACTATTTCCATTTTCATGTAATGCATTAAAATTAAATGAAATTTAAAATTCAGTTCCTCAATCACATCTCCAGTGCTCAAATGCCACATGTGGCTGCTGGCTACCATATTGGAGACAACAGATATAGAACATTTCAATTATTGCAGAAAGTCCAACTGGACAGTGCTAGGTAGATTGTAAGCTTGGTATAGGCAGGGAGTGTGAATTTTATTTTCTACTGTATCCCCTGCAACAGCACAGTGCCTGGCCAGCAGAGGAGGAGGCGGAGATGGGGTAGTAGATGTTGCAGTAACATTACCTATACATTTACTGAGCACCTGCTTTGTGCCCCACATTGCACTATATTTTATATACGCATTGTCTTACTTAATACTCACATCATGCGGAACCTGGTATTAACCCTCTTTCACAAACAAGGAAAGTGAGTCTCAGGAAGTTTAAGTGGTCACAAAGCTAGCTGGAGAGGCTGAGTTTAACTCAGGCGCTTATGATTTCCCAAGGGAAAGAACTGGTATAATTTGCAAATGTTAATGGCATTTCAAGAGTGTAAAATTTTGCTTGGAAGCTTAAGAGGCCACATCCCATGCTGGGTGAGGTAGGGAGAAAAGAACCCATATACAGTGTGGCCCAACCAGAGAGCTAAAACCTCCTCAGGAGAACAGACTAGCCAGCCACCACCGTCCGTGTTTCTACCCAGGGAGGCCTGTCACCAGCTCCAGAGAGAAGACTTGCTTGGTCACAATCTCATAGCCAATTAATGGCACAACTTGGCTCCCTATCCTCGGCTCAGTGCCCTTCTCACCTGCTCCATTCTGCCGTGCAGGCTGTTGGGTCCAGCATCCTCACTGTCATTATCGCTCTTGCCCCAGTTTTTTTCTAATTTCTTCATTCTTAATGAATAAAAAACAAAATTTCAAGGACAGTCTAATCAGCACTAAGTAGAGTGAGTTTATCACTTCTTTTGTTCTACCTTTTATATTTCTGTTGAAATTATAAAGTTGAATTAGGAATCTGTACCAGTAATACATTTAAAGTTTAGTATCAA